ATGATTTTGGATGACATACTATACTATGACTTTTTTTCATGGTTTTGGACGACATACTATAGTATGACTTTTACTATGAAATATCATGAATGTGAAAATTTCTTTTTCTTGTATACTTGGAAGGGGTACAGCCACATTAAATGTCTTCAAATTATTAACAGTAATGTAGTTATTACTGTAATTTTATCGTAACTGGTTTACAATACATTGTAAAATTGTATAATATTTATTTGTTTTTAAACAGCATATTATATAATGTAGATGTATCTTGTGAGGAGTGTATCCTACATGATAAAATAAGCAGACACCACAAAGTGATTTGGGTTTTCTGTTTATGTAAATTGTTCATGTAAAGGATATGTCAGATTCTGACATGTTTGACCCGATCAAAACAGATGAACAGAAGCAGACATCTGCTCTGAGTTTTCATCACCAAATGTTCAGCATTATTTTATACAAAATTGCACATTTCAAAACACAGGTTTTTTGTTGTTGTTGTCAGTTCAGTTGCATGGAATGGGACTGGGGACAGATTTCATATTTTGAAAACAAAATAAAAAAAAGAATCTGACCAACCAAAAATACTGTCAGGAACATGTTACACCATGTTGGAAATCCAGAAGTCTCACACTAGCAGTCATACACAACATTTTACTGATCAAATTAAAAATCTGCAATTAAAACAAACTTCTCTAGCAAAACCAAATTTTCAAGTATAATAACTTACAATCTGAAAATGATCAAACCAAAGAAAAAAATTACCAAAATGGACATTCCCTAATTTACACACTTTCTTTTCAGAAAAGCATTTCATCAAAAGAACTTCTTTGCTGCTGCTTCTTGTTGACTTCTAAAAGACAAAAGGAGAGACACAAAGCATTAGAGTGGTGAAAAGGTAATCAGATATTTTACTTAAGTAAAAGTAGCAATACCAGTGTGTGTAGTTACAAATTAACATCCTGCATTCAAAGTTAATTAAAAGTATAAAACGGTAAGCAACAAAATATACTTGTTCCAAGTACCAAAAGTAAAAACAATCATTTTCCAGAATGACCCATTACAGAATAATATACAGTGTGGAATATCACTGAATTATAATAAGTGATGTGTTCAGGTCACAAAAATGTCTTAGCATAACGTGTCATAAAAAGTAGTAGTAAAAGTAGCAGTAATGGTGCAGTATGCCACAAAAGCTGTAATAATGTCACCAAAAAGTCATAAAACAAACTACATAATATAATACTTAAAAAAATGTCTAGGGAAATGACATAGTATAGGTTGTTATAAAAATCTTTTTAAAAAGCATGGTATGGCATAAAAAAATATAAAGTCACAGTAGTGTATGACATAAAAATATAATTGAAATGTCATGAAAATTCATAAAAAATGTCACAGTATGTCATAACAATGCCATAAAGAAATCGTAGTACAGTATGCCACTAAAAAGTCATAACATAGTATGTGATATTAAATCATAAAGTGTCAATGTATAGTGTGTCATAAAAATCATGAAACTGTCATAGTATGTCATGAAAAGCATAAACCTGTCATAGTATACTATGTCATAAAAATGATGAAACCATCATAGTACAGTATGTCATTAAATTAAAAGAAATGATATGGTATAGTATGTTGTCAAAATCATGAAAAACAGTCATAGTGAAGTATGACATCCAAAATCATGAAAAAAAGTCATAGTATGTTGTCCAAAATCATCATCAAAAAAAAAAAAAAAAAAGTCATGTCATCCAAAATCATTAAAAAAAATAAAAAAATCATAGTATAGAATGTCGTCGAAAATCATGAAAAAAGTCATGGTAAAGCATGTTTCCAAAACCATGAAACAGTCATAGTATAGTATGTCGTCCAAAAAAAAAATTGAAAAAACGACACAATGTAATATATTGTCCAAAACCATGACTTAAAGTCATGGTAGAGTATGTCACTAAAAAATATGAAAAAAAGTCATAGTATAGTATGTCGTCCAAAACCATGAAAAAAAGTCATAGTATAGCACATCATTCAAATCATGAAAAAAGTCAGAGTATAGCATGTGGTTCAAATTCATGAAAAAAAGTCATTGTATAGCATGTCTTCCAAAGTAATAAAAAAAAAGTCATAGTATAGCATGTCGTCCAAAGTAATAAAAAAAAAGTCATAGTATAGTATGTCGTCCAAAGTCATGAAATAAAACAGTCATAGTATAGTTTGTCATCCAAAACCATAAAACTGTCATAGTATAGTATGTCATAACAATGCCATAAAAAGTCATAGTACAGTATGTCAGAAATATCATTTTAAAACGTCATAGTATAACATGTGAAAATCATAAAAAATGTCATTAAGTTCTTGTATAGTATGTCATAAAAATGCCATTATAAAGTAATATCATAAAAAGTCTTAGTATTAAAAAAAAATATAAAGCTAGTATGGTTAGTTATAAAAAAAATTAAAGTCATGTTTGAGTATGAAAAAAAAAAAATCATAATGTTGGTGTTGTACTTGGTCTTAACTGTCATTCTATTTGACAGGTGGAGCGGACACAACTATCAATATGCAACCGGATATTAAGATGTGTCTACTTCCCTTCAAAGCTACCTGTGAGTGAAAATGAGCTTTGTGCATGTGCGTCCAGCTCCACAAAGACTGACACATGTAACACAGCATCAGGCATACAAGTCTGACTTATAGAATCTGTATGCTGTTGTCCATTGTTATATTGTTTAGATAAATATATATAGTTTGTATATTTACTGATTTATTTTCACCAATAATTTACAGGATAGCTAAATGTTTGTTTACTTTTGTCCAGCTTTGTTGTTTTTTTATTGTTTTGTTTTTTTTAGCTTTATTTCTATTTCGATAAATACATCAAGTACAACAAATATGTATGTATGCGTTCATATACTTTGCAAATAAAGCTGATGCCGAGTCTGGTGAGAGAGTTGTTAAAATTCTCGAGGACTCTTATTGTCAAATAAAAACAACAATGTCTTACTTGTACATGATGTAGCAGAAGAACAGGACTGACTGGACCACGATGAAGATTGCAAAATGAACAGTCGATAAGCAGGAAGGCATGGGAGGCACCTCAGGGCACTTAAAGGCCTTCTCAGCAGGGTTCTGTGAATGAAAACACACATACACAAAATTCAGTCATGTCTGATCTACTTTCTCAACTGCTTCATAAGAAGTTCGTCTCTCTGATCCATACCTGAGCACTACGCTGAACCAGGTGCTCCACGTCCCTTTTGACCGTGTGCAGATGTTCCTTGATGTCGTTGAAGTGCTGCATGGTCTCGTATGTTCCCATCCCACCTGTGTTACCCTGGTGTTGCACTGAGCCGATCTGTTTCAGCGACTCATAGAAGGAGTTTCTGCAGCAACAAAGAGAAGACACACTGAGTCCCTGCAGAAGCACTGTGCAAAAACATTAATACTGCAACTGCTTCCCCCAAAGGACTGCCAGGAACAATATTTACTGCCACAGCCTTTTAATACCAAATAAATATCTCTGCAACATAGTCCAGACATTTACTTTGACAATGTGACCTGTGTGCTGAGTGAATCCATGTTGGGAAACATGATGTACAGTAAATATGCTGTGTGGTATCATTTATTGACAGTAATACAAATTGTCCGAAATTAATCTTTTAATCCCCATTCACTGGAGGCTACATATTCTCAAAGTTTGAAAAACACAAAATTACCATCTGATAAAAGAGGTCATGATTGCTGAATTAATCCCTTATAAAAACATGTTCTTACAACAGATTACAAGTACAGGAGGTTAAGAAACAGATCACAGAGTGGCGCTAACAGGAATCCAGAGTCTGGTCATGATGCTAAAGATGAAATAAAAAATAGTAAAAAAAATAAAATAATAATTTATCTGCGCATTTTGTTTCTCTTAAATTTTATTTATTAATATCACTTGTGCCATGGGGTGGAGGGTTGTTGTGGGGGGTAGGGCCTGAAAGGGCAGAGAAAGCTGGGCACTGAACTGTTGTTTTGACTGTCTTTGTTTAACTAAATAAAACACCCAAAAAAAAAAAAAAAAAAATCAGTCTGCTCTTCACAAAAGTGTTGTAGTACGCGAAATCAGCCTGCTTTTTGAAGGTCAGACTCGACCACATTTTTACTCTGTCTTGTCTCTGTCTTAAGAGGACTCCGAATTTTCACAACAGGTCAAGATCACAACTGCGGGAATATTAAATTGCCTGTACAAAAATAGGAGTGTTGAATAGCTGAATAGAGATGGTTACGTTGGAAAAAGGGAGGAACTAAAAAAAAAACATCCTTAAATAAATTCAGTTATTGTGAACTTATTATACGTTTTCTTTGGGAGAGTAGAGTCAAGAAGCTTTGTGTCTTTCCAAACTGAGACCATTGATACCACCCTGTCTGTCAGTTAAATATGAGGCTACAGCCAGTTACCTTATCTTAGCATAAAGACTGTAAACAGGGAAACAGCTAGCTGGCTTTGTCCAAAATTCAGAAAAAAAAAAAAAAAAAAATCTTAGCCGCACCTCTAACACTCACTAATGAACATGTTAAAAATTATTTAAACATACCAAAAAAAAAGACAATTTGTGGTTTCAGATGATGCAAGTTGACCCGTTCAGAATGATAATCATAATTCATAATCTAAAAAATGAGTGAAAGCCTCCTCAAGTTGGAACAACAACTCGAGAAGTTGATGAAACTTTGGTACATGAGTTGACGTCATATATGCAGAAACTTGGCAGACAGAAATAAATCATTGATGGTAATAATCTCTTAACTGATTCATATATAGCATGCCAATGTTTTGCTTTTATGTATTTTGTAATATGGTATTAGGTTGTAACCGTTAGCTGCTGTCCATGTAGAGTAGATCTAGATATGTTAGAAAAGATGTACTAGTTCAGCAACAAGTCTGGGACAAGATCACTCTGATAACAGTTTGAAGCTTAAATTACAATGTGTTGTTTAAATGATCTGAGCAATAAAATACAATACATCCTCTTTGCAGCATCCATGTTGTTTCCATATAACAACTTAAAGTTCATGAACACAGCAAAGTTGGAAGAAAGACTTCCCAACTCGGGAAACTGAACAATCTGAGGAGCACTTGAATGCAGCAATGCTGCTTTATCCTGCGTCACTGGACCCACTTAGGAAGGTTTATGTGTTTGACTGTCTCTCTTGGAGTCACTATTTGTCCATGCATCATTCACTGTCACGGCTCGCCAGTAACAAAATGTCAAAACTGCAAATCTGTTTCTTCACTTTCAATTTCATCAGCAGATGAAGCACAGTCCAGTGTGTCTCAGAAGAGAATGAAGACGTCTAAGCCTGGATCATATTTCTCAACAAAATGTAATTTCTTAAAGTTGATTACTTACAGGGAGAAAGCAATAAGTTCCCCTTATCATCTTAAACACATCTAAGACGATTACGAAGGAAAAAAGTGACTTGACAAATGAAAGGAATTCCAGCGGCGTAAGTAGAAAGGCCCCGAGGGGAGGATTGTGACAAGAAATCAATTGGAGGTAAGCCATGTTTTGCCTGCGTATGACAGATGTATTTAAAGACTACTAATCTGATAAGGACAAAATGGTGCTAAGATGGTGGCCTTTTCTTGCTCGGCCACATGGCTGAGGTCTGGAGGGGCCGGACAGGGATGACATATAAACAAAATCTAATTTGTTTCAGGAAGAGGGGAAAAACATCTCCCTGGAGAAAGTAAGTGAGCATTTATTAAAGCCTACATCTAATCTTCATCTGCTACAAGTGACCCATTTATGAGCTGAAAGCCCTCCTTGGAGTCTGCCGTGAAGTCCTATCATAAACTCTGTGTTTAAAAGACGGGCCAGGATAAACTGAGAGCTTAATCTATAAAGTAATACAGATCAGTCGCTCACATTAGCACATTAGGAGGAGCAGCTGCAGCCTTTTGACGCCGTCTCAACTTATTTACTGTGTCAATCAGCTTACTCCTGTGCACCTCTGATAATGTGCTTCTTCAATGTGAAGCATTACAGAAACTCCGTCTTTCCCTGCCGTACATACAATATAATTCACTTACAGAAGAGCCAAATTAGCAAATGAGACACATTGTAAGTGAGAGTCTGGGTCCATGTGAGTTATGGGTCAGCAATATAATAAAGAAAATCATGTATGCAAAATCATCTGAGGATGAATGTCCTGTTGGATTTAGGGCATATAAACAGCTTGCTTCTTTTATGATACATGAGACTAAGAGATTAATGTTACATAAAATAAAATCTTTAATATCTTGTGATTCTGATTAAGTCTTAATGCAGATGGTGTGTTCAAATTAAGACGCACAATCAAACTGTGGCCACTGGACAAATGTGACGTCACTATAAATTAACCCACTCTTTGTCTTGATGGTTGGTTTTTAAAGAACACCAGAGTCAAAAAGGCGATGTTGGATAACTCAGAACTCAATTATTGTTATTCATTAAAATCTCCTCACAAATTTAAAAGAAGGGTTCTGAAGAAGACGTTGTTGTTAAATCTGTTGCGTGCTCACAATGACTAAGCCTTCAAGCACCTTACAGAAGCATCAGAACCAAGCACTAAACATCAAAATATTACAATCTGAACACCTAATCAGGCTTACTTACTATAAGTACCAAAATCAAACAGTCATGGAAGGCACACCATCACAAAATCTCTTAAGCTGTATTATGTGAGCATTAACAGCCTGTTCATGCTGTCATCTGAGAGTGGTGAAGACAACATTTCTATCACCGAAGAAGAAGAAAAGTTTACAGCTGGATATTACCACACCTATCATGCTGTGTGTCCTAGCAACACAGAATTCTTATTAATTGGGAGATGGTATCTTTTAAAGGGGCCTTTTTATGCTTTTCTGTATATTGTTGGAATATGGTGGCCCGGGGGTGCAGTGGTTAGCACCACTGCCTCACAGAAAGAGTATTCCAGGTTTAAATCCACCAGCCAGCTGGGGCCCTCGTATGTGGAGTATCTACGTTCTCCTCGTGTCAGTGTGGGTTTTCTCCCACAGACCAAAGACATGCAGGTTAATTAGTGACTATAAATCACCCGTAGGTGTTGACGTGTGTGTGAATGGTTGTCTGTCTCTATGTGTTAGCCTTGTGATAGTCTAGCGACCTGTCCAGGGTGTACCCCACCTCTCGCCCGCTGTCAGGCTCCAGCCCCCGATGACCCTCGACAGGATAAGCGGTTACGGATGATAAATGAATGAATGAATGTCGGATGTTCATATTAAAAAAGTTTCATATGAGGTAAACATACGTAAAAAAAATAATCCCTGTGAGCAAAAACGTCAGGCTTCAGACCGTTCTGAATACTGTTTCCAAATGTTCTTTGTACTTAGGCTACAATATGATGTCATAGTGTGCCAGATTTCTTTATATTGTCTTCTGCTCCAGGCACGATACTGCAAGTGTTTACATCACGTAGCCTTCACTGCTACATGTAGCTACATGCTAATGTCAGGGAAACATGTATGCTTCGTTGCTGACATTGTAAATTTCTTCCTGATTTCAGATCATATTCTGATCATATTAGAAGCTTTTAGATGTAATATTTGACAGTAGGAAGTGCCGCTATTCTCCGTTCCAGTCGATTCCCCGGCTACAATATGGACGCATAAAGAGAACTGGATACAGCATTAGAGGCAGGGTCCCCTTCATTCCTATAAAAAGTTGCTCAGTGGCCCATGAAGCCGAAAAAGTATGACTGCTAGTATAAAATTAACTGAGTGCTTCCAAACCGTGTGGCCCACAGAGCGAACGCACTAGGATCTTCAACTGTCCGAGCCAGCTTTCCCTTTAGTGCTCTGCTAACTTGAATGAAGATACAATGATTTAGTCTTGTGGCTCTTCTGGACGCTCGAAATATTATTGGACGGAATGGATCAAATCCTGATAGTAAAACTAGTCATAAAAAATGCATCCACTGATTAACAGACGTCTCTTTGGCCATGTAAGTTAATGGGAAAAAGTCTTTTTGGAGTCACAGGGCACCAAGTAACAGATGTAATTCCACTGTTTGGCCACAACAAAAATTGGGTTCAAAGCCTGGCACACTTCCTGGGGGCCGCAGGCTACAATGAGGGTGCAGAGGTGCCATGATACAGAAGACATGGAAACGCTGACCTATCAGATCAAACTGGGCTTAAAGAGACAGGCACTAAAATGGAGCATTTCAGACAGAAGGTGAATACAGGTGTTCCAGCACAGACAATATGAGGAAATAAAGTGTTTTTTGAACAATAAATGTAACATGAAAACCTGTTCCAGTAGAAACCTTAAATGGGCGACAGTAGCTCAGTCCATAGGGACTTGGGTCAGGAACTGGAGGGTTGCCAGCTCAAGTCCCCATCTAGACCAAATATGGAGTGTGGACTGGTAGCTGAGGGGCCAGTTCACCTCCTGGGCAATTGCTCGGGGCACCTGTACATGGGCAGCCCCCTCGCTCTGGCATCTCTCCGTTTAATAAATGTAAAAGATCCTGTTTGTGCATGTGTGTATTTCGGGCCTGTGTGATAACAAAGTGAAAAAAATTGATTTCTTCTCAGGGATTAATAAAGTATATCTTCTTAAATACAAGTATGAACCTGAAAATGAGTATAAATAAGTCCCCTTAAAAAATGAGTCGCCTTCTCCTTCCTGGCCACAATTTTTAGGCTGTTAATAAACTGTCTGAGAATACATCCGAGCGTCTGCAAAGAAGTCCAGTGTAGTCCTGGTTTTCAGCTGAGATCAAGGCAGTGTGATGATTATCTCATTTAGTGCTGAGGCCTATGGCGTGTGTGCACGTGCATGTGACTGATCGTCACTGCAGCTGGATTATCAGGCTGGCAGACACCTGTGATGTCGCAGCCACTGCATCCTGAGATTAAATATGATTTGAGGGATTTAACCACCAGGATTTCCCTTGTTTTTCTGGAGTATCACAGATCTCTCTTTATGTCTGTTGCAAAAACAACAGCTAGTTTTTGAGACTGACAAAACGTCAACAACAATGACACTGTTGTTACTTACCTCAGCTCATTCAGATTTTTAAGGACCTCATGCTGGTTGGCTAGGACTGAGCCCAACTGTTGTTGACCTGTAGCATCCAGCTACAAGACAAATACAACATAAAGGTCTGAAGGTTAAACACTCCGGTGTTGACGTTTGATAAAGCTGTCATAAAAAAAGTTTTATTAGTTTTGATAACCTGTCATAAAAACAGCAGGAGTACACAGACATGACACTGAAGTAAATGCTTTATGTTGATGATTTGTTTGAGCAAGTCAGCGGTGGGCTCTTATAATTCCAGTACATTTTGACAAATCAACAAAATGACTGGAAATTAATCAAAGCCTTGTAGAAAGAAAACCACTGACTATTAATGAGATCACTACATCTGTGAAAAGTTAAATGCTTTATAAATCCTGCACTCATTGCTGTGTGCATCTGCTGTAAACACATCTCTTGGCAATGACACGCTCACCTGTCCCGACTCAGCATTCGTCCCCTTCTTGGCGACCTCATCAGTGATAACAGAGACATATCGGCGCTGCTCGTCCAGGATCATAGCGAGTTGCCGGTGGAGCTGTTTGATCTCCAGGTGGATCCGGTTCTGGCCTTCAAACACCTGACGGATCTCCCGGTCATTCACGCTCTCGTACAAGTCCTCAACTGCAGAGGATATAAAGAAACAATTAATGAAATCAAAACTTTCATGAGGTATTTTGTTTGGGCATACAGATGTGTCTTTGAATAAATACAATTTAACGTGGTTTGTTCAGATTATATAACAGTAAAATATAAAATAAAAAAATGTCATGGTTCTCTTAATGGTCAGTTTTGGTTTTAGAAAACTAACTTGGCTCTCCCTGGACGTCTGGGTGCTCTTTCTGAAACTCCTCTTTCTTTTTGTCGAGCTCTTGCTGGAAGTTCTGAAATTCCTCCTGGTACTTGTCCTTCTCTTCTTTAGGAATCTCAGACTCAGGTGGGGGCTTCAGTGGGAGAGACAAAAAAAAAAAAAGAAAAACCCTCTCTGAACTCAATAGAGGCCGTGCTCAGGCTATGTGGTGCACATGCATGCATGCGCACATAGAGACACACAGCTACAGGGAAGTGAACTGCACACACAGGATTGTGAAAAGTATGAGGAGCTCTAGGAAAATGGAGTTACCGGCTGCTGGCCTGGCTCTGTGAGTCTGAACAGCAAGAAGGACAAAACATCGTGGTCGTCTGAGGGAGGAGAGAAAGAAAAAGAAAATTACAACAGACAAACATACTTTCAACTATAGCAGCCCTTTACATTACTGCATAACAAGGTAATAAGGAGGTAAGATGAGGAGAGAGACGGGCATGACTTAAAAGTTAACAGTCCTACTGGGAAGGTTACTGTGAAATAACCTCAAATCAGTTTTTGTCTCCACCCCTGATGATATATGAAAAATAATTTTGCATTTCTGCTCAGTCACTTAAACTAGACTGCTTTCTGATTGGTTAAAGAGGGACAGTAGAGTTTTAGTTAGAGGACAACAGAGAAACTCACAACTTTAAAGGGACAGTTCACCCCAAATATTTATCAGTCTAGATTGTTTTGGTGTGAGTTGCTGAGTGGTGAAAATATCAACTGTAGAGATGTCTGCCTTCCATCAAATATAATGGAACAAGATGGCACTTGGCTTGTGGTGCTCAAAGCAGACCATGTTGTGAGCAGTTTCATGTAGGAACTACTTTCTTTCTACCGAACTACAGCCACCAACAGTATCACAGCACAGAAGGAAGTGTGCATCTACTGCTAGCTCACCTAGCAACACTGAGTTAGCTAATGTAACAGCTGAACCAAAGAAGACATTTTGTTTTAACATTAATGTTTACATCTCGTGCAGTCAAGAACAAGAGCCTCTTGTCCATGAGTAGATGCACACTTCCTTCTGCACTGTGATATGGTTGGTGGGTGTAGTTCAGTAGAAAGAAAAAAAGTTCCTACATGAAACTGCTCACAACAAGGTCTGTGGATTATCTTGAGTAACTGGGTCATGATTTCTGGAAAGAGACATTGCTGTTGAGTTTTTCAGATTTTTTTTGGGTACTTTGAGCACCACAAGCTGAGTGCCATCTAGTTCCATTATATTATGTTCCATTATATTGGAGAGAAGGTAGACATCTGTACAGCTGATGGCTCCAACACTCTGCAATTCACTGTCCCTTTAAAGGTTTTTAAAATATAAAATATTATAATAATAATAACAACAATAATAATAATAATACCTGCTAAACCTCCAGTGGCAGCTGAAATGCCAAAGAAGCCTTCGCTGGGAATGATCATGTTGTCTACCTTTGTGCAGAACTCAAAGTCCTCTTTGTCTGGAGTGAAACCATTGTTGATCATCACCTGAGGAGGAACATGAACAAGTGATGCAGCTAAACTAAAAACCACTGACTGTGCTGATCATCAGACATGATGTGTTTTATGACATCAGTGACATGATGTTGTTAATGAGGTAGAAGCGTATTTTTCTCTTCATATACAGTTTCATATATGCAGGTAATAATTTGTGTTTATTAATGTTTCTCCTACCGTCAGCGTCTTCTTGTAGTACGTTATTTTGGCTCTGACAGGATAGGGTTTGTTGCGGAAGTCTCGTAAACATGTGCCGAGAGCTTGTGTGGTGCCGTCACTGGATCAAAACAACAAAAAATATAACCATTACATTCATCTATACACAGTTCTGCGCTCCACATGAACACTACACATGAGCAGGGAAAATACAGTGTGATTAGAGCTTATTAAATAAGTGAATAACATTAATGCCCATGTATGTTTTTGTAAACACTTGTTGTGGTCCAGTAAACAGTGTGAAATTCTAAGACAGACTGAAATGGCATTGAAAAAGTGATTTAAAGCTTTCACCGGCCCGCAGAGATTAGGAAAGAGGATTATTTACTTTCCAAGCAAATATAATCATATTTCCTAATCTCCTTTAAGTTGTTAAAATTTGAGTTGGTGATGACATCAGAGCAAAGCAAAAGAAATGTTTACTTACTTCTGATGGTCATAAACAAGGTTTCCATTGTTTCCCACAATAACTATGGCAGGGTTATTTTTCTGGAATAAAGATGGAAGAAAACAAGGAAACACATTAATCCTATTTTTCATCTGAAGCCCAGAGGTGGCTCTGATTTTAGGTAATCTCATTCACAAATGTCAATCCCATACCTGAAATAAATATTGTTTTATAATATTATAATATTTGTTTTTATATGAGAGTGATCCATTTATCTACTTGTAAAACATATAGATAAAAGAACAAACATGTAAAACTATTTAAATTAACACAAACATTTAAACAAATTAAAACCTCACAGGTTTCAACAAAAGAGAAAGGAAGACATGTATATATGTTTTCACGTTTTTTAACCACCAAAATGACCCAAAACTAATAGGTATGATGCTGACCACTGCTGGAAACATACAATCATTGATAGTTATGTCTAATCAATATACACCAACCTTCCCGTCGTTGTCAAAAGAGTCAAAGAAGATTCCAACTCCATTCCACTGGTCGGCAGCACCGTACACTGGACCGTCGAGGCCTTGTGATGTAGTGAACCACACAGCCTGGTAGACAAAGACAATGTGGTACAAATATTAGTTTGTTGTAGCATCCTTTACAACATTTTGTGATTGTTTTTTGATTTGCCTCTTTGGTTTCTCTCCTGTCGAAAAAGTTAGGTCAGGTCAACAGTTATAACACGGCTGTGAATGGATTTGCAGTCATCAATGTTGTCCAGGTGTGTTTTAACTATATCTACAGCAAAACAATGTCATAAAATGCACTTTAAATCCTCAAACTATATGTGGCACAAATCAATTCTTGTGTATGCACCCATGTGATGGGGTTGATACCATATTATATTGATTCTTTAGACAATATGACAGGATATTTGCCGATATCACAGAGTCTGCCATCATATGCTTTTGATTTGTATGGATTCAGGGGCCTTCAATCGATAGGAGATGACGGCAGTAAATATCTTCAAGTATTTTCTTGACTGTTTGCCTTTGTCTGCCTGGTGTCAGGCTACTAGTACTGTCTGAACGTTTAAAAAAGAGAAGTAGTGACGCAGACATACCAATACAGAGTATGAGACTGATGTGTTGCACAGAGTTGAGAGTTCATAGCTATTGCTAATTTTCAACAACTACATGTACACCTAAAATGTTATAAAAAAATGTACAGTTTTAAACATCATCATGCTGTTCACAACAGTTCTTGTGTCAGGTACGGAAACCAAGCGGCAACCTCCAGAGCTAAAAAATGAAGCAAACATCTGAGTGCCAAAAACTGCAGTTTCTCGCATGGCCACTTGAGGCTGGCTTCAGAAGCGAGTGAATCCCCATATTCCCCCGTTTTCATGCCCAACTTTACAGCAGAAATGTTTACAGCCTGGAACAAGAAAACAATTTTGGTCCATATAGCTAATTTAAAGCCTCAGTGTGTAAAAATGGTGAGTAACAGTGACATCAGCGGTCAAATTCTAGATTGCAGGCCTCACTCGCGCTCACTCGCTCACCCCTCCCGTCAGGTAAGTGACGGTGGCCTCGTAGGACAGAAAGCCTTACGCAGACAGAGATGGCATCATCCATGAGTTTTTCAAGTTTTTCAAGAGCAGGCCTATCTAGCGATGAGGTGAATATTTATTTAGGAATCTAAACCATGTTATGATATTGTAGCGACCCTGCAGTAAATGTTCTGTTATAATGTCAATGTTCTGTGAGTTAATGGCATGTTTGGGATTGAATGAGTATAGGCAGGGGTGCGGGGTGCGAGTGTGACGGGGATGAGAGCTGTGTGAGTGCGCGTGCTGGTGTGTGTATGAGCGAGCTGGAGGAGAGAGCAGTAGTGATGGTGTGATGAAGCCCCGTGAATGTGTCGAATCTTTCAGGCGGATTGCTTCGCCAAAAGGCCGATCACACAAAGCCCCGTTTAACAGCTCATTTAGGAGTACTGACATCTGCTGGTCATTTGATGTACAGCAGTCCTACTGTGATATTACATGTGGGCTACATGTCAGTGGATCTGGCATACACATAATGATGCTTAATGATGATGATTATGTCAGAATCCCCCTATGAGGTATTGTAAAGCCAGATGAAATGAATCTATCCTGAACGTGGTGTATCAATAAAGTGCATACACACACACACATACAGTACAGGCCAAAAGTTTGGACACACCTTCTCATTCAATGCGTTTTCTTTATTTTCATGACTATTTACATTGTAGATTCTCACTGAAGGCATCAAAACTATGAATGAACACATGTGGAGTTATGTACTTAACAAAAAAAGGTGAAATAACTGAAAACATGTTTTATATTCTAGTTTCTTCAAAATAGCCACCCTTTGCTCTGATTACTGCTTTGCACACTCTTGGCATTCTCTCCATGAGCTTCAAGAGGTAGTCACCTGAAATGGTTTCCACTTCACAGGTGTGCCTTATCAGGGTTAATTAGTGGAATTTCTTGCTTTATCAATGGGGTTGGGACCATCAGTTGTGTTGTGCAGAAGTCAGGTTAATACACAGCCGACAGCCCTATTGGACAACTGTTAAAATTCATATTATGGCAAGAACCAATCAGCTAACTAAAGAAAAACGAGTGGCCATCATTACTTTAAGAAATGAAGGTCAGTCAGTCCGGAAAATTGCAAAAACTTTAAATGTGTCCCCAAGTGGAGTCGCAAAAACCATCAAGCGCTACAACGAAACTGGCACACATGAGGACCGACCCAGGAAAGGAAGACCAAGAGTCACCTCTGCTTCTGAAGATAAGTTCATCCGAGTCACCAGCCTCAGAAATCGCAAGTTAACAGCAGCTCAGATCAGAGACCAGATGAATGCCACACAGAGTTCTAGCAGCAGACCCATCTCTAGAACAACTGTTAAGAGGAGACTGCGCCAATCAGGCCTTCATGGTCAAATAGCTGCTAGGAAACCACTGCTAAGGAGAGGCAACAAGCAGAAGAGATTTGTTTGGGCCAAGAAACACAAGGAATGGACATTAGACCAGTGGAAATCTGTGCTTTGGTCTGATGAGTCCAAATTTGAGATCTTTGGTTCCAACCGCTGTGTCTTTGTGAGACGCAGAAAAGGTGAACGGATGGATTCCACATGCCTGGTTCCCACTGTGAAGCATGGAGGAGGAGGTGTGATGGTGTGGGGGTGTTTTGCTGGTGACACTGTTGGGGATTTATTCAAAATTGAAGGCACACTGAACCAGCATGGCTACCACAGCATCCTGCAGCGACATGCCATCCCATCCGGTTTGCGTTTAGTTGGACGATCATTTATTTTTCAACAGGACAATGACCCCAAACACACCTCCAGGCTGTGTAAGGGCTATTTGACCAAGAAGGAGAGTGATGGAGTGCTGCGGCAGATGACCTGGCCTCCACAGTCACCGGACCTGAACCCAATCGAGATGGTTTGGGGTGAGCTGGACCGCAGAGTGAAGGCAAAGGGGCCAACAAGTGCTAAACACCTCTGGGAACTGTTGGAAAACCATTTCAGGTGACTACCTCTTGAAGCTCATGGAGAGAATGCCAAGAGTGTGCAAAGCAGTAATCAGAGCAAAGGGTGGCTATTTTGAAGAAACTAAAATATAAAACATGTTTTCAGTTATTTCACCTTTTTTTGTTAAGTACATAACTCCACATGTGTTCATTCATAGTTTTGATGCCTTCAGTGAGAATCTACAATGTAAATAGTCATGAAAATAAAGAAAATGCATTGAATGAGAAGGTGTGTCCAAACTTTTGGCCTGTACTGTATATGTATATATACATATATATATGTGTGTGTCCACACAAGGTTAGAGTGCTTGTGTGACTGGGTCACTCAATCCTCTGCACTTAACGATCTTCAGAATCACCTCAGATCACGCAAAACACTTTATGTATTTCCCGACTCGAATCACACAACGAGGCAGTCACGTGATTCCAGAGAAACGGGGCCTCGTTTGTTTTTGGTCACGTGATATCCTGAAAAACGATACAGGCTTCGACACGAGCTTCATTTGGACACGCCCCCTTTGCTCGACACAGGCCTCGGGACTGCAGTATCAGCTGTAACATCACTAGAGAGCAGGAGTGCACAGTTGGAGTTACAGCTAAATTCTTGTTTGTTAGTTGTTCTGGCGTAGTTACGGCCAACAGTAACCTGTACTGTTCAGTAATAAACGGTGGTTTGCCGAATAACTGCGTCATCCTTTCCACACGACCTGGCGGACCCTACAATATGTTATAGCTTACCAGTGAGATATAGGTTATCTGTGAGATATAATATTATGTTAGGAGTGTTTTATTTGTAATTGTTTTGGTAACACAAGCAAACACTAGCACAGTAATGTTAAAATAACACGTTTTATGTGATAGTCACGGCACAGTGCGGAAAATATAGGTTGGTACAATTATAATATATGCGTTTCCAGAGTGTTCTTCCACAGGAGTTTTTTCCACCTGGAATAAGCAACGCCGATATTCACTCGCGTTTTGTCCATGTGTGTGGTCCTCCATTTAAAGTGCAACAGAATCATAAAAGTACAAAGCAGGTTCACGCAGAAGCGCCCCGGATTGAGTTTTACCTTCTCTGTCTCCAGTGACGGCAAGTTCTAGATAAACGCGAAAGGCGAAGCGCGTGTATCCCTTTCGGCCACTGTATTCAAATATGGCGACGCAAGAGGGCAGCCTCCAGCATACCGCACCCTGCCTGTGTATATATAGAGAAATCATTCTAAGCCTATGAGAAAGCTTCCATTTGTATGTGTATTGCATTACACTTCAGTAAATATATATTTATGAAAGCAATAGTTGATATTTGATATTAAGGCCTAGTCCACACGAGCACGGGTATTTTTAAAACCGAACTTTTTTGGCCTCCAGTTTTTAAAAAAATCTGCGTCCATACGAGTGGTGTAATAAAAATACCTCCGTCCACATGACACCGCAAATTCCACTATCAAGCAATGTAATACGCCAAAGCAGTAGGTGGCAATATAACTCCTAACTGTAAGGCCATTGTAGCCAATCAGAAGGCAGTAAAACGTCATTACCGGAAAAACAACAAGCGGTGTCGGTGTGCTGGGGTACTATTATGCAGCAGGAGCGGTCTCCGTAACAGCACACTCTTGCACCTCTGTTGCTGGATGTGGTTGAGTAGCGTTAGTTGTATGATACAGCCACAAAGTGCTGATATGCTGCTAAATAGCAGCAGTATTTTGTTTAGGTCCATCCTCAAATCGTCTCTCGCACACACTGGATTGGGTAATAACACAGCTGTTTTCTGTTTACGTCGCACACTGTGATGTCATACAATGGAGACGAGACAAAATAACTGCGGTTATCCTGTCCACATGTGACTGCTGACAGCGGACTTTTCCAAAAAGTTCATCCGGTTACAAATAACTCCGGTTACAGGGGCCCAAAACTGCGGGTACGTGTGGATGAAAAGCCAAACCGTGAGCAAAGAGTCATGGTTTTATAAATACCCGCGTTGGTGTGGACAGCCCCTCAGATTCATGAAAACTTTACAGGGGGAGAATTCTGATATAACTCACCCTTTAAATTCTACAAAGTCTTAACGTTACGCTTAATTAAGGGCAGGCCACTCTGAGTGAAAGGATGTCTCTCGTCCATATATGGTCACTTCTGGCCCCCCAAAAAACCAAGATGACAACTGTCGAAATGCCAAACTCAAGGCTTCAAAACGGGACTCCACAAACCAAAAGAAGATGTCAAGGTAGCTACATCCATTATACAGACTATGATGGAAACGCTTGTCATTTAACCTTGTGGACATGTCACACCTCATTAAACAGGATGTGCACCTTTACTTTAAAGTTTCTCCATAATGGTCAAACATAGTCTGATAAGTAACATTTTATTTATCTGTTGTGACAGGACAGGAGTAAGTAAATTTTCAGTTCTCATTACAGGTTATCTTTATTTCTCACATCAGCATGGTCAACATGTAGTGAGGTTCTGTGTGTTCATCAATTATGAGGTTAGATATCACTGCATGTTTGGTTGTGGATTAAGTGTAAGTCTAAGTGTCTGTAACAATACTTCCTGAGTTTGGAGAATATTAGCATGTTTCAACCTATTTTTCATTCATTGCTCTGCCTGAGGAAAACATGTTGTTAGTCTAAAGTAAGACAGGTTTACTAATTAAGATAAGGAAATCTGACTAAAGCACAAGTAAGTCAGAATGTGACCAATATCAACTTTAGTTAAAGATACAGACACAGCTACAGAAGCTACAAACACATTTTGTTTGGTGTTCAATAAGTATTGAGGTTTAATACCCAGCCGTAGCATAGATGCATAGAGTAGTAATAGTGCGCTCTCTGGCAGGGCAAACTGTTCTGGACTTACCGTATATTAATTATAAACAAAACTTAAGTAACAATTGCGAATGGAAGTCCATTATTCAATTGTATGGCGTGGTACGCTCCCTAAAAGAAGACTGGTTTGCCTCATTAACCAACACAGAAGTTTTACCCTTCCTTACCAAACCGTCTGCTCCCATTCGACCTCTTCCTGATACTCTGAAGGTCACCTCGGCCTCCCAGTGCTCGAAGCTGACTTTGTTTTTCGTCCACACACTGCCTCTCTGACTCCTGAGGGATGGCGTAATGCGCACCTGGTCTGCACTAGGGATAGCATCTGGGATAGAAAGGAGAGAATATGCAAAAATTTAGAGTGCCATAACTAATTCATAATTTCAAAATTCAACAACATATGCTATGTTTTATAAGAAAAAAACTGAACAAAGAAGTAGTCATTTTCTGTGTGTTTCCTTCTTCTACTAAAGCTAATATGAAAAAGCTAATGCCAGCTAACATGTCATACTGTTATCCCAAGCCAGCATTATCAGGGTGTGCCTACTCTTTAATCTTTTAACTGCCTCAGGACCTGATTCTCATATTGGAGAATACCTTCCTTAGATCTGTCAGTGCAACCTAAGTTCGCTCTGAGTCACATAAACGTGTGTACTTGTGCTGAAACAAGAATCAAATCAGCAGTGATCTTGATAATTAATTATTAATATATTTGTATCACTTGCTGCTTTTCTGACAGACAAAACAAGTAATATGAAGACATGTACTGTAGGGCTTTAGAAACTTTTTTTGTCTCAGTTTTTGAACATTTTACAAACTAAACAATAGTTAACTCAATATTAGATTATCTGTTTAAGTCAAATCCCAAAACATTACCAAGTTATGGCTTCTCAATTGTGAGGATTTGCGGCTTTTCTTTGTCTCATGTGACAGTAAGCTATATAAAGTTTTGTACTGTTGGTTGGACAAACATTTTGGGCATCCTGATGTAATCAAAACCTCCCTGGTCTTTTTTATGCCAGCCCACATCTCTCTCTCTCTCTCTCTCCTTGTTCCACTCATTATGGAGGTGTTTCTTCTCTGTCAAACATGGCAGAGAAAGTATCCCCAAAAGACACTTTATGGTGTCATATTTGACATATTTGGGAAAATGTGACTAAAATATTAACCAGCACCAAATTAATAGTCTATAGCTACAGCCCCCTGAGTCAATGCTGATTTAAAGGGAATGCAGTGTAATCTCATGCTGCTGCTTATTGAATGCTCATATCAGCAACTGGCAGCTCACTGTGTGATGCAAGAATCCAAAGGCCCATTTGTGCAGGAGGAAAGTTCAACACTTGACTGGCATGTGTCTGCACAGACTCTCGCAGACAGTCACGGCCTGTAACATGCTGTATTTAATAAGCCAAGTCTTTACATGGTTGAATATAAGCCTGACATAAAGCTACACTGCTAACATGTGTGGACTGTCTGGTGCAGTTTTGAATAGGTGAAGCAAGCAGCTGTCATTTCCCAACATCCTGAGCGGAAACGCGTCGGTTACAAACCGCAAACTGAGCTGTCCTCGTGCCATCTTCATATGTGAGTGTTTCAGGTTTAAGCAGCAGCTCTGTGATGCTGACAGCTGGACACAAACTTACTTCCAGTGTGGATCCAAAACGGGATACTGCCGTCGGTCTGGGACAGGTGCGGTCCTTTGAAGCTGTATTTGTACTCGAAGCGGCGGTGAGGAGGCTCCTCTGACGTCGAGGCACCGGCGGCAATGTCGGCGACACTGCGGTGAAATATTAACGTTGTGAGAAAAGTTAATATCAACACATGAGCGTTGGCAGCCGGGCGCTGTGCTATGGACACCGCCATGTTTCTGTATCACTGCTGACGTAGCGCTGAGACCACGAGCATGACGGGATGCCTGTAGGGCCAACAGGGCGCTTTCTGATTGGTCCGTGATTTTGGTGGTTTTCCTCTTCTTCTCCTGTTTTTTTTTTTTTTTTTTTTTTTAAGAGTACAGCTGAGGTCCTCAAGAGGGGCCTCCTGTACTTAAGTCACGTTGTCTGCAAAATAATATTTTATTTATTTCTGCAAAATAAAATAAAATATACAGACATCACGTATTTTCCTTATTTAACAGTTTTTACTTTTTAGCACCCCCTACCAAAAAAAAAAAAAACACCACCAAAAACAACAGCAGAACAATCTGTATTTGCACTGGTATCTGTACATATATTTATCTTCAACTGCAATTTATATTATCCATATCAAAGTATTCATTACTCCAGCACTGCTCTCACTTTAATTTAATCACCTTAAACTGCAAAACCTAGACAACCATTCACTACTATGTGTTTTTCATTCCTTTGTTTTTATTCTTACACTTATATTCTCTTTCCCTTTGTGTATCTGTGTTTTTGTATACATTGTGTAATAAGCTACCGGGTGCCCTAATTTCCCTCTGGATTATCTATCTATCCATCTATCCATCTATCCATCCATCCATCCATCTATCTATCTATCTATCTATCTATCTATCTATCTATCTATCTATCTATCTATCTATCTATCTATCTATCTATCTATCTATCTATCTATATATTTGAATTTTTACACAAAAGGAATTTGTTTTGGTGTGTTGGTGCCAAGAGGCAACCTCCAGGGCTGACAAGTGAAGCCATTGCCAACGTGCCAAAAACTGCAATTCATCGACTGGCCACTTGAGGCTGGCTCCAAAACAGAGCAAATCCCCATAGACTCCCATGTTAAAATGCCTGACTTTACAGCTAAAATAAACATGTTAACAGCCTGGTGCAAAAAACGTTTTTGATATTTATGACTCATTTCATCATTCATGACAACTGTACTGGGAGTGATTTTTTTCNCCCGTTTGAATGTTATTAAAACTTAAAGTTCTGCATTATTAAGGGCGCTGCCATTTTGACTGACAGGCTGTCAGCTAGGCCTCACTGAAAGCCACTTGCCGTGTTGTGAGGTGCTAGATCATGCTGGCCGGAGCCTTTGTTTGTCATCGGACAAATAATAACGCTTGCTGTGCAAATAATTGTGTATTGATACCTGACTGTCCAAGACACCAGTTGAGGAAGTGACATTATATTATTTTATTTATATGTTAATTAAAGCATGTATCATTGTTTGTCTGGCTTGTTAGCTTAGCTCGTCATGTCCAGTTTATGGTTGGTGCATTGACATGAAACACAAATACAGGAAAAAACATTCATACATTCATTTTCCGTAACCGCTTATCCTCTCGAGGGTCGCGGGGGGGCTGGAGCCTATCCCAGCTGACATTGGGCGAGAGGCGGGGTACACCCTGGAGAGGTCACCAGACTATCACAGGGCTGACACATAGAGACAGACAACTATTCATGCTCACATTCACACCCAATTTAGTCACCAATTAATCTAACCTGCATGTCTTTGGATGTTGCACATTCTCCCCAGTGACACAAAGAGAACATGCAAACTCCGCACAGAAGGGCTCCCCAATCCTCTTTGTGACAGTGCTAACCACTATATGACCGTGCCACCAGGAAAAAACAAAATATATAAAAAATATGACAGTGTAAAAGAGCTAGGCAGGAATGCCCAAATATATATATCCTAGGGACTAATGAAGAATAAGACAATATGCAATACACAGAGATAGTAGTCCAAAAATATGTGTGTTAATGTTACAAATATAAACAGATGTGATGTTGATGGGGTGGGGTCTTTGAGGTGATGGTCCCAGGCTTGTTGGTGGAGCCAACTGCAGAAGAGAAGGGCCTGTTTTTGTGGTGTGAGTTTTTGGTCCTGATGGACCGCAGCCTCCTGCCAGAGGGGAGAAGTTCAAACAGTTTGTGTGTGAGGTGGTAACATAGGAAGGGTTAGCTACAATCCTTCCTGCCTGCCCCAGGTGTTTCAGCAGAGTACAGCCAGTCACCTTCACAGTAGTCTCTATATACAGACTCTACATTCAGTGAATGTTGAGTCTTGCCTCTGGAAGAAGAGCGGAAGAGCCCTGGTTTCCGGTTGTAGGCTGTTTGTAGTCTGCGTGATATTGACCAATCACGTTTGAGCCGGCTGCAGTTGTTGCCAGGTTAAACGGTCCATGCGGTGAACTAACGAGGCGGAACATAATTGGCGTCACTGCAAACTCTGAATCCATCGCAATGGTTCAGCATATTTACTTATATATATAAACGGAAGTCGGAAATGGAAATTTGCCTCCTCCGCCCAAATCAAACCGGAATGCCAAAAAATCGGGGGTCTGCCCCCAGAGGCTGTATCGCCGTCTGCCGGTAGTCAGACGCCGAATACAGCCGATGGGTTCCCTTCCAAGAATGCCTTCACAGAGCAAATGCTGCACTGCTATCTGCCCTTGTCCTTGGCAGTCTTAAGCCAACAACTCACCTAGCAGAGGCAAAGTGCAGCCTGCAGCGAACTGATTCCTGTGACTCCAGTGACATTTTGACCTTTGTTACAAAGAATTTCTTGCCACCTGAAACACATGAACAGGCCTGCAGGCCACAGTCAAATGTAATTCACTTCACTGCTGCCTGGTGTGTTTTCGGCATTACAATAAAAATGGTCTTCATAATACAAGTGCTGCTGGAGTTTTGACCTCTTTAGACTTATTTTATTTCTCCAAGTAATCCAGTAATTGTACGAGAAAGCCCCGCCCTGCTAGACCTTGATAGTTAGCTAGATAGCAGCAGCAGTGTTGGTGGTGCATGCTCGATTAATCTGCCAGGTCTTCTCTTGAATAGTTGATTTATTGTTTGGCATATAACATGCCATAAACAAGTGAAAAATGTCCATCACAGTTTCCCACATTGCATTTGACATTTTTGTGCATTTTCTGAAATTCTAATGCTAAATGTAAATGTTGATGCTAATGCTAAGGCTAATAGTTTTGCTAATTTACTGATACTACTGCTAATGCTGGTGCTGGGGTTAATTGTCTATTAAGAGACTAACAATAATATACTGAAGTTAAAGCAAATACTAACACAAATGCTTACAGTAGTGTCAGTGCTACGTCAGAAAACAGTGAAAATGGCCACTACAATTTCCTATAGCCCAAGGTGACGTCACAAGCTGGAACTGAGGCATGTTTTGGAATTTTGCTTGATCCGTGAAGTCAACAGTTATTATTCATCAAAATATTTGCCCATTATTTTTCTGTTAATTGACAAATTATTTCGGCTCTAATACAAACATATTTCAAATATACAAAAATATCAAATTTTATTTGTGCCAGTCAAAACCATATTACCATCCCGACAAAGCCTTCAGCTGCTCCAGAGGGCTCCGGACCAAAAAGCACAACAAAAGCAAGCAAATTGTTTCTGGGAAATTTGATGAGTAGGCCTTTTTAACAGAAGACATTTGACAAAATTAGACACTTATATCCATTAATACATTTAAGGGCATCGTAAAGAATGTAGTGATTGAGGCATGTGCTTGTTTTTCTCAAGAGGCCATTATGTTTGAATAGTAGTTGTTGTCTCTTGTAAAAGAGATGTTCAGTCTCAATGTGACTTCCTGGTTAAGCATAGGTTAAATAAATAAATAAATAAATAATAAACAAATAAAAATGATACAGTAAGAAATGCACAGGTCACTAATCTTAAAATGGCTGATCCATTTAGCTTGAATTGTGTGGAAATGATAAAAGTTAAAGTATCCAAACGACAAAGGGCATCATTCAAATTAACACATGCTTAGCTAATATACTGCATATTAATAGTGCTATATTTGTGTAGTGGAACATGTAAGACACAGGCATTTTCCTTGTCATTACTACATCCTGCACACATTGCACCAAGACACAAAAAACATATTATACGACATACAAATCAGCTGAATAAGTAATCAAAGACCCACATAGCACCAAGGAACAAACACATCAAGTATGTCTTGGGCCTTTAAGCTGCTGTACTTTATCACTTGTGTTGTTCTGGACTGGCTCGTCAGCTCGCATGAGGTCAGAGAAAGGTTAAGTGACGTAGTCGAGCTGGCTGCCAGAGCTTTCACTGCAGTCTGAAAGCCTCAGCAGGAGGCGGGAGATGACACAATTATGTGTCACTCGCTTTCTATTTACTTTCAGGCAGCGTCTTCCTTTTGCTTCTGGAGGTGCAGCATCACTTTCTGTGAGGGCCTGTGATTACAGGCTCAGGAACGAAACACAGAACAAAACAGACCATTGTGGTGACGCTAATCCAGGGATTTTGACTATTCTGGCAAATGATCAGTAAATGGCGAGGCCTGATGTGCACCTGTTTACAGTCGTCAGGTTTTTTGCAGCAGTAATGTCACATGGAAAGGATACATTTTCTTTATACACATAATAAAAGGTTGGTCTTTCACTTTTTGGGTCCATTTTGCTTTCGCTCATTTCCAGTCGCTCACCACCTGATATGTGTTTCTACATCTGGCTCTGTCCCATAAAGCTAAGGCTGCTCTCCTCTGGGCAAAAATGATTCGGTTCTTATTTTTGATCATATTTTTCACACTAAATAATTGCTAATAAAAGCCAAAGATGGTATGACAACACATGTAATTAAAATATAGATATTCCTTTTGTTTTGGCCTGATGATGAAGGAGCAGAAGACAGGTTTAGTCATGGTGTGTCTGATGCTGATACAGAAATTACATCTACATCATTTCCACAAATGTGTTGCCCTGTGTGAGCAACACATTTGGTGAATCCATAGTGGATTAAAATAAATGTCTGAATGAATGAATAAATGAATTTTTATTTTGCACCAATAAAGAATGAATTGCTAAAGCAAAATATTTTTCCTCTGTGTTGAAGGGGTTAATGTAAAAGTTGATTTTAAAGAGGCATCATAGGAATGTG